AACACCGCTTCGGTGACGGTTCGGGGACTTCGGGAGAAGAGAAGCAGAGGGGAGAAGCATGGGCAAAGGGGAAAAGAACGGGAGAAGCAGGAAAAGAAGTGAACGAAGAGAGAAGGGCAGTTTGGAATTCAGGGATATATAAGACGAGCGTCTCTCGCTATAGCGCCCCCACTCGCTTATGTTACAGCGTACTGGGGGTAAGCTCGTCTCACTAACATACCGGAGATCACACGCTTACCATGATCCCGTAGTCTAATGTATATCAGGTACAATACACTCGCTTATGTTACAGCGTACTGGGGTCTAATGTATATCAGACTTTAACAGGTTATGAGCCTTTTGCGTTTCCTGGCCACCAGTACCTAGCGGATCATCCCCTTTTCTCTACCCTCGTCGCCCGAATGGAATCTCCCACCGATGGTAACCGCACGTCCGCGGACGGAGCGGAGGAACTGGTGTCCCAGATCACTCAATTATACGAGGATCTCGAATCTTTTCACGACAACGACGTGCACTCCAGCGCTGTGCCCGCGCACACGTCGTTCTCTCCCATGTCTCGTTTTTCCCGTAACCCGCATAGTACCTCTTCTCCTCATCCGTTCGTCACGACAGAACGCCCACGTCTGGCTGGCCTGGGGTCTATACTAGGTAGACCGTCTCTATCGCCAGTCGCAGAGGAACAACCCGCAGCTGGCGGCCCGTTCTCAACTTTCTTTGGTCGAAGGCCTACAGGGAACCACAGTCTTCTCTCGGGATCCATTACGCTACCCGCGGGCGAAGCGTCTTCTAGTAGGGCCGAGACGACTGCTCAGCCCCTCACTGAGACGACGCACGCGCAGCAGTCCTCGTATACCAGGCCACCGGCTGCGCCAGACCTTCAGTCTAGGGCCGCGCTACCACGCAGCCTGCCCCAGGCTCCCGTCCCGTCTTCACAGCCCACCCAGCAGCAACAGCCCATGAGCGCCGAACAACTCTATCAGATCCTCCATCAGCAGTTCAGCTCCGCTCCATCGGCTACCACGGCTGTCCCTACCATACCCCCGCAGCCAATTCAGACGTCTGCCGCTCCCGCACCACAGCCAGCTTACGCACAGCAGCCCTCGCTTACCACGTCGACGGTTCAGCCACAGGCAGCAGCCGCCTACGCGCAGGCCCCATCTCAGTCACACGCATCTGCCGCCCAGCAGGCCGCTTCGCACCAGGCACCAGGACAGTTCGCCAACGCGAGGGCGCTCCCTAGGCGTCCCGGCACAACTCTGGGCCTGTCCATGACTGGCGGTCGTGAGGCGATGATGTTTCTCGCGCCTCGGCCGAACAAGATCCAAGCTGTAAAACTCGAGCTGCATCACGCGAAGCACATCCCCGAACTGAGTCGGGCAGCTGGCAACTGGATGGAATGGAGCGAGAAGATCGTCAGCTTCGTCAATGCGAGCACGATGGTTGGTTTCATCGAGGGGTGGACCACGATGCCGGACCCGAACGTCGACTACGACGCGGCGGCCGAATGGGTGAAAGCCAACAACGTCATCCTCGCTCTCATCAGGGAGAAGTGTACCGCCGAAGAACGTCAGCACATCACCTATACGGAGACAGCGTTCGAGGCATTCCACCTACTCAAGTCACGTCACGAGGAGCTGGGACCTATCTACATGGTTCGCCTCTATCAGCGCTTCTTCGACTCCCATTTCTCCCGCTCCGAACGTTTCGAGACGACGGCAAAG